TTCTTTCACCAGATTCCTCAGAACCTCCCGTGTTCAGTCACTTTACAGCCCGGCCCAGAGGACACTGGGAAGGTAAGATATCGAGTTGGATCACAATCAGTCGTGTGACGTCTTTAATGTCGAGTAAATCTTCTTTAGAGCTTTTAAAAGTCGGCTTTAAAAACCACTTTGACATCAATGAATCTAAACATTATTATTTCTTTAAGAAGCACAATAACTGAAGAGACCTTTCACATTTATCACTGTGTGTCTGTGCTGAACTCTGAACTGCACCTGAGCACAAAGCTCAATATCAGCAGGTTCTAATGTGAGAATGAAGTGGTTGTGGTGTTGAGTCTCTCTCTCTCTCTCTCTCTCTCTCTCTCTCTCTCTCTCTCTCTCTCTCTCTCTCTCTCTCTCTCTCTCTCTCTCTCTCTCTCTCTCTCTCTCGCTCTCTCTCTCTCTCTCTCTCTGCAGGCCTGTGGTGTGGACTTTGAGATCAGAGCTTTCTGTGCCAAGTCAATAGAAGAGAAGATTCACAAGAGGTGAGTTGAGACCTGCAGGTTCAGAGCTGAGGGTCACACTGAGGGTCACACTGAGGGTCACACTGAGGGTCACACTGAGGGTCACACTGAGGGTCACACTGAGGGTCACACTGAGGGTCACACTGAGGGTCACACTGAGGGTCACACTGAGGGTCACACTGAGGGTCACACTGAGGGTCACAAACATGAACTAGTTCTAAACCTACAGCAGCTTCCCACTGCGGAGGAGGCTTTTATTTTGTAGAGCCAGCACATTTACACTTCCTGGAACTGGCTGAGCTTTAAGGTTCTGATGAGCTGCAACTGTTCGTTTATCAGTCGAATGATTCAGCGAATATTTCCATCATTGATTCATCGCTCCAGTCAGTTCACTTTAAAATAAACATTTCAGAATATTCTCCTCTTCCAGCCTCAGATATATATATATATATATATATATATATATATATATGTTTGAATATCTGAATCTTCAGACAAACTGAAGCAATATGGAGACGTCACAGCGACCTCTGAGGAACTGTAAATGTCACCTGATTGATAATTACAGCAGAAAACTAACGTAGCTTCAGTTCCTTTAGTTTGTATCTCGTCACAGTTTACAGATACACATCTAATGGATCCCAATGTACAAAACAAAATGCACACTAAACACTCGATTTGAGTATCAGCCTCAATTAATGAGCCTGTTGATGAAACAGGATGCTGAAAGTACTCAGATATTAACATTAAAGAGTAAAAATACCTGCATTCAAAATCTCATTTAAATAAAAAAGTATCAGCGTCAACATAAACTGAAAGTACCAAAAGTAAAAGTGCAGAATGGCTCGTTTCAGGTTCATTTATTACTAGTTTGATTGATTGATTGATTGATTGTTGATTGTAGCACCGTGCCAAAGTTCTGTTTTACATTTAGATTAAAGATTTACATTTTAAATGTAAATCAGTTCCAAATATCTGTTTATATTGATGATGATGATGATGATGATGATGACGATGACAGTCGGACCGGTTGAACTGATGCGTTCACTGTCTGCAGGAACTCGGTGCGTCTGGTGATCAGGAAGGTGCAGTACGCTCCGGAGAAGCCCGGTCCTCAGCCGATGGTGGAGACGACCCGCAGCTTCCTGATGTCTGACAGATCCCTACACCTGGAGGCGTCCCTGGACAAAGAGGTACACACACACACACACACACACACACACACACACACACACACACACACACACACACACACACACACAGTTAAATTAAAACAGAATAAAATAAACTATAAATAACCTCGAAGAAGAACTGAAACCTTTAAACTACATTAAAATCTGTTTAATACGCCAGCGGGGTCAGAGGTCAACTTACAGAGTACATATTCTTCTGTTTAAGTTCTCCTGATGTGATGCTTCAGTGATGTTGTTCTCCCATGATGCATTGTGTTTCAGCTGTACTACCACGGAGAGCCCATCAGCGTCAACGTCCACGTCACCAACAACTCCACCAAGACCGTCAAGAGAGTCAAGATCTCCGGTGCGTTTGTTACCCTCCACCTGCCCCCATTAAAGCTCTGTGGTGACATCCCATAATAACCCACACACACACACAGGCTTGTGAAGATGTAGTTTGTCTCTGAACCACTTCCTCCCTCAGTTTCCTGCTGCGCTGCTGTTTGTTTCCTCACATTATTCTGGCTCTTCACCGTTGACGCCTCCAAACAGTTTCAGGGGTTTTCTTTATTGATCGAGATCAATCAAACCAAAATCAATAAGTTATTAACATCAGTGTGTGTCTGTCTTTGTCTCTGCAGTGCGTCAGTATGCAGACATCTGCCTGTTCAGTACTGCCCAGTATAAATGTCCAGTGGCCCAGCTGGAGGCAGAGTAAGTCCCAGTTTAATGTCCCAGTAAAGGTTCCGAGATTAATCCAGTTTAAACCAAATAACCTGGATTGAACTGGTTTAAACTCATTTAAACTGGTTTTAAAACAGTTTGAACAAGAGATTAATTCATTTAACCTTTCCAACTTTCAACAAGCTTAAACTGATTTAAACCAACTTTCAAAAAGGTTTAAATGTGATTATTTGGTTCACACTGGTTTAAGAGCTCAAACAAGATTCATTGATTTAAACCAGAGGTGAACTGGATTTAAATGGTTTTAAACTGGTTTAAATCTTGTTTAAACAAGAGATTAAATTCATTTTAACTTTAAACAACTAGTTTAAAACTGGTTTGAATGTCGTCGTCTCCACAGCGACCAGGTGTCGTCCAGCTCCACCTTCTGCAAGGTGTACACTCTGACCCCGACGCTCGACAAGAACCGAGAGAAGAGAGGACTCGCTCTGGACGGGAAACTCAAACACGAAGACACCAACCTGGCCTCCTCCACCATGTAACACACACACACACACACACACACACACACACACACACACACACACACACAGAGCGTACAGGTGTGTTACACAGGTGTGTCGGTGCAGTCACGTGACCACGGCGCTCTTTTGTGTGTTTCAGTGTGAAGGACGTCACCAACAAGGAGGTTCTGGGGATTCTGGTGTCCTACAGAGTCAAAGTGAAGCTGGTGGTCTCACGCGGAGGGTACGACACACACACACACACACACACACACACAGACACACACAGACACACACACTCTCCACACACACACACACACACTCACACAGACACAAACACACACACACACACACACAGACAGACAGACACACAGACACACACACACTCTCCACACACACACACACACACTCACACAGACACAAACACACACACACACACTCACACAGACACAAACACACACAGCAACACTCTCTCACACACACACTCACACAGACACACACACACACTCACACAGACAGACAGACACACAGACACACACACTGCTGACATCACTTCCTCTCCTCGCAGCCTCTCTGTCATAAACCATCAGGTTCATTTAATTATAGGAATAATTGATTAACTGCAGTCGTATCAGGAGGTAATAAAAAGATCCAGTCGATCAATAGCTAATATTCATCTATTTTCCTTTTGAACAATCATTTTTTTAAAGTGAAACTTTTAGTTTTCTTTGTCGCGTTTCATAAAAAACTAAATAATTTGTGTTTTGAGGAAATTATAACAACAACCTTCACTATTTCCTGATAATTGATTAATTGACAGTAAATAATTGTTTGCAGGAGAAACGTAACAAACTAGATCCTGATGATCAGTGACTCCATGTTGTGCCTCAGCTTCCTGTTGTCAGTGTCGGTTACCGTGGAAACCGTCTGCTTGTTGCCGTAGTTGCTTCTCACTGTAGTTTGTGAACGGGTTGCTTTTCATTTCATCTCCCTTCTGTGTTTTTGGCTTTTTGTGTGGCTCCTCCTCCTCCTCCTCCTCCTCCTCCTCCCTCCACTGTGTGCCCCCCCCTGCAGGCTGCTGCTGCGAGGCATGTTGGAGAGGTAAATGTGTCTGATCTGAAGCCGGCAGCACACATAAAAACACAAAAACCTGTTTCTCTCTGGGTCACCGACCAAAGTTTTTAGATTTCAAACTGGTTTAAACAGATGTTGCTTTAAACTGATTCAAACTGGTTTACAACCAGTTCAAACAACAGTTAACTCATCAGTCTTTTTAATTTCTCTGTTTTTCTGTAGATTTGATCAGATTTTAATGTGTTAGAGTGTGTGTGTGTGTGTGTGTGTGTGTGTGTGTGTGTGTGTGTGTGTGTGTGTGTGTGTGTGTGTGTGTGTGTGTGTGTGTGTGTGTGTGTGTGTGTGTGTGTTTCAGAGACGTGTCGGTGGAGCTGCCCTTCATCTTAATGCATCCTAAACCTGTGGAGCCGCCGGTGTCCCGCCCACAGTCAGGTGAGTCCGCACAGCGTCACAGTGTGGACCAACATCCATTATAATAACAAACCGATTTTATTTACAGACATTGAACACATCACACACACACACACACATTCTGTCCCTTCTTTATCATTAGCATTACATTTCCATGGAGAGAAGAAGCAGTTTCCATGGAAACGACAGTGTGACATGCTAATGTGTGTGTGTGTGTGTGTGTTACAGCTGTGCCAGAGATGGACCCCCCCATCGACACCAATTTGATAGAATTCGACACAAAGTAAGTATCAACTCCACAGACACTCTACTGTCCCACAGACAGTGAACTAACCACAGACAGTGAACTGTCCCACAGTTATTACAGACAGTGAACTAACCACAGACAGTGAACTGTCCCACAGTTATTACAGACAGTGAACTAACCACAGACAGTGAACTGTCCCACTGTTATTACAGACAGTGAACTAACCACAGACAGTGAACTGTCCCACAGTTATTACAGACAGTGAACTAACCACAGTCTCTCCGTCCTCAGCAGCATCTCCCAGGACGACGACTTCGTGTTCGAGGACTTCGCCCGCCTGCGGCTCAAAGGCGTTGTAGACGACAAGGACGAGGACTGCTAGGAGCTCGCCAACCCTTCATACGCTCGCTTCGAAACCACCACGCACACACACACACACACACACACACACACACACACACACACACACACTCTTCACGTTGCATTCCCCGGTTGGAGGGATGGATGAGGGCGTGTTTGGACGGAGGCCTCGCGCAGGGGGGGGCGTCGGTGGTGTTCTTCCTCTTTAGCTTCAGCCATTCGTCACGCCGCCGCCATTTTCGCCGCCGTCTTCTCTGTTTCTCTCTTTCGCCCAAAGGCGGAAAAACCCATAAATGTCGAGCAGCTGCAGGACAGACGTCGGCGGGACGTCGGGTGTGGGCGGGGCTTGTGAACGCGTGAAGAAACGATTGACATTTTAAAAAAAGACGTAGGAAGCAGAAGCAGCGTTTGTCCTCTTTTACTTTGAAATCTCGAGCGTTTCCGCGGCGACGATCACGTCTTGTACAAACAGAATATATATTTGAAACATAGAAAAACTAATCTTCTACGAGCAGTCGAGGTTCAGTGGAGATCCACACACACACACACACACACACACACACACAGTCTTATACAGGCGACTGAAGTTCGATTTCACCAGCATCCACTCTCTGTCTGTCTGTCTCTCTGTCTGTCTCTCTCTCTCTGTCCACCGTTTTGTAAAACGTCGTCCCGTTCGCTCGCTTTCTGTTGAAGAACCGTTCCAGCGTTGATGGAGTTTTTCTTTCATTTTAAAGTTTGATTCACTTTTTTTGCTTCATGTTTTCATGAAGATCCAAATAAATCTTTAAAGGAATATTTAGTAAACTCACAACTTTTCAATCAGAAGGAGAAAAATAGAGAATATTTGGAGCAAAATCTGACATTTCGAGCAGAACAGTTCTTAAAAAACCACTCAGAAATATTTAGTTTGATTTTAAAATGTGACCTGTGATCGGGTCCTAGCCGCAGCCGTCTGGTGTTGTTCTGTATTTACAGCGTTTAACTCTTAGAAAGTCTTTAACTTTAAGATTTAGAGCCTCTGTGGGGGAAATATTTGACATTTTGAGGGGGAAAAAATCACAACTTTATAAATTGTAACCTTAAAAAAAGTTGTAATTTTACAAGAAAAACTAGAAGAGTCAGATTTGAACAGAAGATCTTTGTGTGTGTGTGTGAGTCTAACGCTGCCCTCTAGTGGCTTTTCTGACTAATCCCAGTTCTATTAAATATTACATTCTTTATTAAAAGGTAAATATTATAAACACTGAGATTATTCCTCTGTACACCAACAGACGTTAAACATTTAATTTGTTGGCAGGAAGGAAAATCTCCACCGGCTCCATTATCTGCACGTTCTCCGGTCAGGGAAGTTAATGGATCACCGATAAGTTCTTCATTGATTTGCATGTTTTCTTTGTGTGTGAAGGAATTAAAGGATCACTTGTGTTCACTGTGTTCATGTTAACGTTGTCCACCAGCGACTTAAGAAGTCACCCGACCCGTCTTCGTCGACCCCTGAAACACGAGCGCGACTTCCGATCGCGCTGGAATCGTTCTTTAAACTTCAGACCCGAGTCGGCGAGTAAAAGTGGATTTGTGTACGGAGCAGCACTGAGATCAGTTCTGTAACAACCGATGTTAAAGTCTGAGACTCGATCCTGGTTTAATCATCAGCCTCTTAAAGGGAAACACTGCTGTTCTTTGTTTATGATCATCTCTCTGTTTCCAATTGACACCGATTGACCCGAAAGCACTTTGAGCTCGTGTGTTCGTCCACTGCATCCTGTTACTGTAACTGCATTGTGCCTTCTACATCTCACTGTTGCCAATAACTCGATCTCTTTTAATTGTTTTTTTTATTCTTATTGTGGCTGAAAACTGAGATGCAGTTTGTGACTGAAGGAAACCACTGAAAGTCGATAAAAAAAGGGGGAAAAAGCCAAATTATAATCAGTGTTATTGTTAATAATCGGACTGTAAATATGTTTATTGATGATTTCAAGTGCAGGATTTTTCTCTATTAAATAAACTTTTGCACAAGTTTTACCGTCAACCATCTGATTTTAAATAACAAATATTTAAAGACGATTATCAGGATCATTTTGTCCACTGAAGGTAAAAAAAACTAATTTTAAACTTGTGACCCGTTAAACCGTCTCCATGACAACCGAGCTACTCGATCAAACCGTGAAGAAGATCGTGAGACGTGTTCGAAAGCCTCGGAAACGAGTCTGGTTTTGGTTTGTCAAACTTAATTCTTTGTTACAAAATTACAATTTAAGTGTCAAATAACTTTCTGGAAAATAAAAACGTCGTAATGTTCCATGAATGTTTTCTTCAAAAGTTATTTTACCAAACAAAAAGTCGTAGAAATGTTCATTTAATCAACAATGTGACTTTTTCTTTGGTAAAATTAGAATTTAAATATCGTAATATAACTTAAAGTTGTGACTTTTAATTATTAAACTTTTTTTTTTCTTTCAGAAAAATTTCAATTTTGTGAAAAAGTTACATTTAAAGAGGAAATTGACATTTTTATGACCTTGTTTGGTAAAATTATTTAAATTTCATATAACTTTTAAATTTTGTGTAACTTTTTCTGATATAAATGTTTTTATCTGGTAATATTTTGCCTTTTTGTCTTACATTGTTATATATTAACGTACCGTTTCATCTCGCAGATCAGAATTTATCCCATAAAGGACTTTTTGTCTGTTTTATTATTGACTTTTATTAATAATTCAATAATAATTCAATAAATCCTGAAATCTCAGACATATTTTCTTATCGTCCGTCTTTAAGTTCGATGACAAATTACCAAATGACACTGAACATTAGTGCCATGAACCTGTCCACAGCAGCCAATGAGAGATGTCATAAAGATAAACAAACAGCACCAGTGTTTCCCTTCAGCTCCACCACATGAACCTCCTCCTCCTCCTCCTCCTCCTCGCCATCCATCCTTTAAATCTCTCCATTCAACCTCAGACGTGATGTGAAGGACTCCAGCAGCTTCGGGGGTTTTAATCTTTCTCTCCGTATGTTCGATCTTTAGAATCAGAAGTTCTGAAAGTAGTTTGGGTTTTTTTTTTTTCCAAAACATTCGCACGCTGTCGTCAGATCTGTCTCTCCTTTTTTTTTTTTTTAATAGTTTAGTGTTTTTATTTCCCCTGAAAACAACCAACCGCACAGATCAACAGATCCACACAGACACAGGAGCACTGCACTTTCATTGGACGAACCAACCCACAGAACTGCAGACGGTATTGTTTTCATTATTCCAGGAGATGAAGAAGAAGAATGTTGATTGTTTTTTTGATGCTTGGCCATTTTTTCAGTTTCGAAACAAAACAAAAAAACTGCCAAATTTCCCGCCCCTTCCTCCTCCACTGAGTCACTGAAGCTGCGAGCGCCACCCAGAAGGGACGAAGAAGAAGCAAACGGAGCATGTTTTTAGTTTTTGGATTGAGTTTTATTCTCCAAGCAGTGCTGTGAATCGTACGAGCTGTGATTCTGTCCTTTATTTTGTCGTCGTGCATATGTGGGGTAAAACTTTGCTAAGTGTGAAAATATTTTGACAAGTGCCACGCCCCGGCCTGTGCGATGCTTTAACCATAATGTCTATAAACAGGAAGTGATTTCTGCTGGTGGGACGAACACCAGAACAGATAGTTATGATTATTATGCTTCTGATTATTATTATTATTATTATTATGATGGTGACTTATTATTACTTCTACTGTATCATCATTGCGACCATGATTATTCTCATAATCATTTAAGAGTATTGTTTTGCCATGTATTTTTTTTATTTTGAGATTTTTATTTTAGTTTTCTTTTTATTATTAAAGGCAAAATGAACTAACAGACACTGCTGCTGCACAATTATTCATGTTTCTGTTACACAGAACCATATATTTATATATATATATGTATTTGTTTGTATCCACTCTTTAAATGTCTTAAATATAAGTTTGACAGCTCTTAAAAATGAATGTTCAAACAGTTTCTTGTATAAAGTTACAGTTTCAGTCTCTTTAATGTTTATTGATCGCGCTGAAAAAAGAAAATGGAACCAATGAATTTCCTTCGTCCTGTTTGGATGTAAAATAATCAGCTGCATTAATAATGGTCCTCATTAACAGGATTAAATTAAAGCTCATTATTTGTAGAAGCAGCTCAACTAAAGACAATATGGAGCCGTTAGCAACTTTATTATAGTTCATTATAAACAGTGAATACAACAATAACGTCTAAATCCTTTTTATAACAGTGAAAACACGGATTCCCTGAATATCACCTGAAAGTGTCGGTGTGTTTACACTATTTATTCCTCTAAAACCTCCACATATTAATAAACTAATGAGCAAACCCACTCTGGAAACTAACTCGAACAAAACTCTAGAATAAAAACATGTTTTAACCTTTGGTCCTCGCTGACGTCGGTAACTGTGGCGGTGGCTGGCGACAGTTCGGTTTGTGCTGCTGTCGTATTAATGTAGAAATGAAGTTGCTGAGCTGAATTAGTGGTTAACTATTGTTCCATAGTGGAGTTACAGTTCGATAAACACACATTGTTCACACACATAACGGTGAGACTCAGCTCAGTTTGGACTTTAATTCAGTTTATTGTGAAAATGGAACATCAGCAAGTTTCGTCTGTTTGAGTCCGCGGGCCGAGAGCTCCCAGCAGCTCCCAGCAGCTCGTACTGGTGGTACTGGTGGTACTGGTGGTACTGGTCGCTCTCCTCTGGTTAAACGTTCTAGAAAACTAAAACTAACAGCACTTACAGTTCTTACCGAGCCTCCGTCTGGATCAGCTGTGGGGTCGATTTCTTTTAAACATTAAAAAGGTGATTTATTTTTTAAAAAGCGCCGCCGTCATAAAGCGTCGTAGTCGTCTTCGTCTTCGTGCTTCCTCTTCAGCGACTCCCCGGCGGAGTTCTGCGACACCATGTTGGTGGTGATGAGGATGTTCTTGGAGCCGATCAGAGACGGGTTGATGAGGACGTTGGAGACGGCGGGCGTGGACGGCGTGGCTGTCAGGGCGAGAAGAGCAGCGAGGGTTGTATCGATTTAAACAGTGGAAGGTAACGATACCTCTGACGACCTCGAGTGGTTTAAACTTTATTTATATTATTATATAATCAATAAACTGGTTCTTACTGGTTTTGGTGGTGGCCGTCTGAGAGGGCGGTGGGATCTGCACGGTGAACCTCTGACCCGTCAGAGACACCGGAGTTCCGACTTTAGTGGTGACAGATTGGACTGACGGAGTTCCTGAGGAGAAAACAACCATCAGACTCCTTCAGCTTCATACTGGTTCCACTGGTTCCACTGGTTTTACATTAAAGACTCAACAACACTGAATCAGGGTTAATCAGTTTCTGATCATCCAGAACCGCACTCGCTCACCAACGGTGGTCACTGGTTATCAGACTGTGGTTTCTCTCTCACTGTCACATTATTTGGCCACAGGTGGAAATTTAATTCAAATGTTCCAGGACAATATTGATTATTTCCAGGTGTTTCCAGGTGTTTCCAGGATGTGTAGGAATCAGATTCTGATCCTGTATTTTAAACACTGGAGGTTCATTTTTCTATAAACACTGTGTGTAAATCGTGTCTTTATGCTTCATAAGTTTTATTGTTCTATATTTTGCTGCTGCAACCTGATGCCTCCTCTCTTTGTAGCGTGCAGCAGGCGCTGGTGTCAGTTTATGAACAATATCCTGATAGAATTCAGTTCATCAGGACGATGAAGCTCACCGAGGGTCGGCGTGCTCGGCCTGCTGGAGACGGCGCCGACGCTGAGGCGAGGCACCGTTATCCTGCCGGCAGACGACGTCACCTGGAAGGACGAAGAGTTTCACATCAAACAGTCGTTTCTAATGTCAGAGACTGAAGCGAACGGTGGAGAGTTCTTACCTTCTTCTGTACCGACTTCAGTCTGTAGTTGGGCGCCGTCAGACAGTAGCGGTCTGGAGGAAGACGGGGGCCGGTGTAGGGTTTGATCAGCGGCAGAGGAGTCTGGTTCTTCTGTCTCGCAATCTCCAACAGGAACTGAACACACAGCAGATCCACGTTAGAAACTACATACACAGAAATACAGATTACAGCCGCTCTGTTACGGACACTGTCAGACTCTAATATCCACTTTATATTCAGTTCTTTTTAAAACAGAAATATCACTAAAACACAGCTATGTGTTATATACTGTAAATACTGTAAATACATATATATATATAGATATATAGATATATATCTATATATAGATATAGATATAGATATTAGGGATGCACCGAAATGAAAATTCTTGGCCAAAACTGAAAAACCGAAAGAAATGATTATGCCAATTATTAGTACCATCGCATTTATGGCTATCACTGTGTACTAACCTCACTAAAATCAAGCCATTGCAATTAAAAGAATAAATCAATTACAAAAGTTTATTTAGCACCGACATTGCAACAATGCACAATATAAAATAAAATAAAATTCAAAATAAAATGTTTAACTTGACCCCACTCGTGTACATTAAATAAATCATAATGTCTGCTGAAAGATTGTAAATTAAATATGTTCTCTCATAAAAACACAAAGTGCATTTAAGCTCATGGACGTGAGTTACAACAACATTAAACAGCTCAGGTAAACACACGTCGGCTCGGTATAACGGGGCTCAATATGCTCAGCCTACGAAACCCCTCATCCTCTACGAGAGAATAGCTGATCGTCTAAGGCAATGAATTCCATCATTCTTTGTGTAATGCCCTTTGCCTCGGCACCATCACTGGAAAACTTTCTTGCCTTTTCAAAAACGTGACCGCGGTTTTTGTTTGCGTCATCACAACTTTCTGTTTCGGCCGCGTTGTTTCGGTGACAAAAGTATTTCAGCCGAAAACCGAAAATGTGCCTTTGGGCCATTTTCAGCTGAAAATTTCTGGTTGCTGAATATTCGGTGCATCCCTAATAAATATATAAACATATACACATTTCTCAGATATACATAAATACACCTGCACAATAACATTTATTCCAGCATCCTCTACACTCTGTTGTCTGTTTGTTGTTGTTTATTCTGTTTACTGAGCTCATCGTTAAACCAGAGAATTCCTTGTACGTGTCCACACCTGATCAATAAAAGTGATTCTTAAAATCCAGATGATTAAACTTTTTAAAGACCTCGATAAAGTCAGAAACAAAAAAAAAGGTTTTATATTTATAAATATATTTTTAATTAAAGGCCGTTATGTGACTGTAATGCTAATGTGAGCAGCTCCAGCACAAACAGACCATAATAATCATTATAACACAACGACAGCGAGGCGAGGGCGGCGGGGGCTTACGTCTCGTGGCGGCGGCGAGGTGAACGACTGGTCCATGCGACACTGGATGGCCAGTTTGATGTCGTCGGCGTCCACGGTGGATTTCTTGGCGTGCGTGGCGTAGATTTTGGCGTCTTCGATGATGGTCGTCACGTATCCTGTAAAGAGAGACGCTTTAAATCCTCAACTCGTGTTTACAGTGAAAGTTTTAATGTTTTATAAGAATTAAACAGAATTAAAGTTTATGACATAAAGACTCTTTAATAACAGACGTTGCTACAGACGACAAAGATTTCATTTGGTTCTTTGTTGATAAAGTTTTATTGTGTCTGACTCTAAAATAAAGTCCCTTTAATGTTCTCTCAGCTGGTTGTATTCTCTCACTGACACTAATATCTGTGTTTTAGCGCCACCTGGAGGTCACTGAGCTGATGTGCAACAGGCTCCAGTAGCTCTGTTAACTTACTGTAGGTGAACTCCAACATCTGGTTGATGACTCGGGGCTCGTACTCTGTGATCCCCATATCCTTCAGGATCTGGATCATCACCTGAAACACAGACCGGATCCATCAGACAGCGTGACCACGGCCGGCGGAGACTCCCTCTCTCTCTACAGCTCCAACCATGAGCTGTTAATTAATATAATCATTTAGATTTAATTGTTTCAGTCATTAACGGAGAAACACTCTGAGGATTTAATGGATTATATCTCTGTAATGGGAATATTTACAAATATACAGCGAGCTCTCAGGACGCGTGTAGTTAACTAACTTTATTATAACTAACTTTATTATAACTAACTTTATTATAACTAACTTTATAATCACTAACTTTATTATAACTAACTTTATAATCACTAACTTTATTATAACTAACTTTATCACAACTAACTTTATCATAACTAACTTTATTATAACTAACTTTATCATAACTAACTTTATAATCACTAACTTTATTATAACTAACTTTATTATAACTAACTTTATAACCACTAACTTTATTATAACTAACTTTATTATAACTAACTTTATTATAACTAACTTTATAACCACTAACTTTATTATAACTAACTTTATTATAACTAACTTTATCATAACTAACTTTATCATAACTAACTTTATAATCACTAACTTTATTATAACTAACTTTATTATAACTAACTTTATAACCACTAACTTTATTATAACTAACTTTATTATAACTAACTTTATTATAACTAACTTTATTATAACTAACTTTATAACCACTAACTTTATTATAACTAACTTTATAATCACTAACTTTATTATAACTAACTTTATTATAACTAACTTTATAATCACTAACTTTATTATAACTAACTTTATTATAACTAACTTTATAATCACTAACTTTATTATAACTAACTTTATTATAACTAACTTTATTATAACTAACTTTAGACTTCATGGATTAAAGTGAATCTATTAATAGAAACAATCATTGTCTGATCTGTGTTTAAAAGAAGAACGAGCAGATTTCAATAATGGAAGAAAGTAAAAGATTTATAATGAAATCTGC